TACATACATCAACACACACTATATTGGAGGAGGGGGTGAAGGGAGGGCAGGGACAAGGGGAAAATCTGAGAACCAAGCCCTGTCTTGTAAAGGTAGTAGATCCTAGTAATGAATGTAACTATCTTGTCTACATAGAATGTACATATACTCTCAATAAAAAGAAAAAAAATGTTTGTTGATACTTTTTAGGTGTATAGTACAGTTACATCCATCATTGGTATCTTGTACCTTTACATGACAAGTCTTGTTCTTTTTTTTTCCCCATTTCCCTGCCCTCTGTTCAACCCCTCCATTTCCTTTCCCCTACCCTTCATACTTCCCCTACTTCTTTAGCCATTTTCTTCCTATGTCACATTATGAATTATACAATTTGAACCTTAATTACACTTTTAGTTTTTCACACCAGTGTAACCATTCCGTATTTGCACCTGTGTCCTATTTATTTCACTTAAGAATATGGCCTCAATGGGCATCCATTTAGCTGTAAATGTCTCTAGTTTCTCATCCCCTTTCCCTCCCCACGCCCCCTTCCTTCCGGTCCCCTCCCTTCCCCACTGCCTTTCCCTCCCCTCCTCCTCCTTCCTCTCCCCTCCCTCTCAGTCCCCTCCTCGCCCTTCTCTCACCTTTCCCCTCTCGTCCCTGTCCCTCACCCTCCACTCCCGTCTTCATTTGCCTTCGCTCCCTTTCCCCGTCCTCCCTGCTCCTCCCTTTCCTTTCCCTCTCCCTTCCCCCGGCTTCTTCTCCAAACGCCCTCCTCCTCCCTCCCTCTGCCCTTCCCTCTCCTCCGCTCTCCTCCCCGCTCTGCTCTTCTCCACTCCTTTCCCTTGTTTCCTCTCCCCCCTTCCTTCCGCTCCCCTCTCCCTCTTCGCTCCCCTCCCCACCCCTCTTCCCCTCAGCCTTTCCCTCCCAGCCCTCGGGGATCGGGCCGAAGAAAAGGCACATAGAGACCCCTTTAGTGTTGAGTGTGCCTCACCGTCTTCACTTGGTTTCCGTAGGACCGATCTCCTTGTCCC